CATCAGAGATTGTAGATCTATACCCATAAATTTGTGCTTTTTGCTCAAAGAAAAACAAAAACAAGTTTGTTGTTGCAAATTTGTTATTTGTACTCGTAAATACACATATCTAGGACATAAGCCTATTAAATACACTATATTGCCAAAAGTATTTGCTCACCCATCCAAATTATTGGAATCAGGTGTTCCAATCACTTCCATGGCCACAGGTGTATAAATTCAAGCACCTAGGCATGCAGACTGTTTTTACAAACATTTGTGAAAGAATGGGTCGCTCTCAGGAGCTCAGTGAATTCCAGCGTGGAACTGTGATAGGATGCCACCTGTGCAACAAATCCAGTCGTGAAATTTCCTCGCTCCTAAATATTCCACAGTCAACTGTCAGCTGTATTATAAGAAAATGGAAGTGTTTGGGAACGACAGCAACTCAGCCACGAAGAGGTAGGCCACGTAAACTGACGGAGCGGGGTCAGCGGATGCTGACGCGCATAGTGCGAAGAGGTCGCCAACTTTCTGCAGAGTCAATCACTACAGACCTCCAAACTTCATGTGGCCTTCAGATTAGCTCAAGAACAGTGCGCAGAGAGCTTCATGGAATGGGTTTCCATGGTCGAGCAGCTGCATCCAAGCCATACATCACCAAGTGCAATGCAAAGCGTCGGATGCGGTGGTGTAAAGCACGCCGCCACTGGACTCTAGAGCAGTGGAGACGCGTTCTCTGGAGTGACGAATCGCGCTTCTCCATCTGGCAATCTGATGGACGGGTCTGGGTTTGGCGGTTGCCAGGAGAACGGTACTTGTCTGACTGCATTGTGCCAAGTGTAAAGTTTGGTGGAGGGGGGATTATGGTGTGAGGTTGTTTTTCAGGAGCTGGGCTTGGCCCCTTAGTTCCAGTGAAAGGAACTCTGAATGCTTCAGCATACCAAGACATTTTGGACAATTCCATGCTCCCAACTTTGTGGGAACAGTTTGGAGCTGGCCCCTTCCTCTTCCAACATGACTGTGCACCAGTGCACAAAGCAAGGTCCATAAAGACATGGATGACAGAGTCTGGTGTGGATGAACTTGACTGGCCTGCACAGAGTCCTGACCTCAACCCGATAGAACACCTTTGGGATGAATTAGAGCGGAGACTGAGAGCCAGGCCTTCTCGTCCAACATCAGTGTGCGACCTCACAAATGCGCTTCTGGAAGAATGGTCAAAAATTCCCATAAACACACTCCTAAACCTTGTGTACAGCCTTCCCAGAAGAGTTGAAGCTGTTCTAGCTGCAAAGGGTGGACCGACGTCATATTGAACCCTATGGATTAGGAACGGGATGTCACTTAAGCTCATATGTGAGTCAAGGCAGGTGAGCAAATACTTTTGGCAATATAGTGTATGTTATCATATTCATTGTACTTATTTTAATGTATGAAATTGTATGCATGTTTATGTCTTGTTTGTTTTAGGAGATTATGAATTGGATGAAGCATTTTGCTAAATATAATATTTGATATTGTACATTTGTTAAATGCACTTTGCCATTTAAACACAATCAATCAATGAAGATTATTCAGTAGTTTAAATGCCTCTAAACAGTTTTGCCCTTTCTCATCTCTCACTGCTCCTCCTTCTCGGTTCTTCAGATCAGCAACCAGCTGCTGATGAACTTGGGGGAGGTCGGGGGTTGGGAGCCGGTCTTTGCCTTCTCAGAACCCATTTCTGCTGCAAATTTAAAAAGCCGCTTCATCAGACATTTCTAAACCTGCTTCTCAGACCCACCGTTGTTATGGTAACTACTATGAGGCATTAATCTGTTTCCTTTCTTTCTTCACAATAGTATACTTTATGTTGCTTCAATTATTGTCTTATTTGTTCTTAATTTGACTGTTTTAATTTATGTTATTACGCATCCAACTTGTTTAGCTCTGGATGTTCTTAAAGTGCTTTATAAATAAGTTAATAAATCATGTTGGCCAACCTTGGTGAAGCACGGTGGAGGTGGCATTATGCTGTGGGGATCAGTAACAGGAGGAAGCAAATGACAGCATGGGGGCTGAGATATGTGGATTCTTCTAAACCATGTGGACTGAGGCACCAGCCCATTTCCAGCATCTCTGAGCTAAGGCAGCCTGTAGGACTGAGAGGAGCAACCAGAACCTGGACCACAATCCTACCCAAAATCCCAGGAAAGCCTGTTTATCTGCAGATAGGACCGAGGCAAGTGGGAGCCCAGCCAAAGGCAGGACCAGCCTTCTGAATACCGAGGAACATGTCAGGTTTACATTCTTACTGTTGAAAACAAAAGAGTTTTTTGGTCGTTTCATTCAATCCTACAGTTGTAGGTTTCTGTGAGATTTCGCCTTCTGAGTAGAAAAGTAACCATCTCCTGCAGCAGTCCCGTACCGTCTCCTCATCCAGAACCTCCCTCTGCCTCCTGCTCCCTATGGAACCACTGGCTGTTGTGACCGGCAGCACATGCGGAAAATTCCTCAACACAATCGATCTGAACCGCGTCACACAGAGACCCATTCATCACTGAAGTGGTGACATCAGCTGATAGCTTCATGTGATTTGAAGCCATCAGCTCACAGGAACAATGAGAAGGTTTCTTCTTGTCCAGACCTTCAGGTTGTTGGTTTCAGAACAAGGGCTGGAGCTTAAACAGGCGAAAACCAGTCATCCAGCTCCTCACAGCAACCACTGGAAGTTTGGCCCAATCTTGCTGGCAGGACCAATGTGTCTGGGTCAGGTTTGAAGGCCGCCTTGCTTATACACATCTGATGCTACCTGTGATGAACCCTCCAGAACTCGGACATTGTTGTCCTTTAACCACTTTGTGACTAATCATACACTTTGTGACTACATAGTTAGCGTGGCTACCACTGCCCCTACATAGTTAGCGTGGCTACCACTGCCCCTACATAGTTAGCGTGGCTACCACTGCCCCTACATAGTTAGCGTGGCTACCACTGCCTCTACATAGTTAGCGTGGCTACCACTGCCCCTACATAGTTAGCGTGGCTATCACTGCCCCTACATAGTTAGCATGGCTATCACTGCCCCTACATAGTTAGCGTGGCTATCACTGCCCCTACATAGTTAGCGTGGCTATCACTGCCCCTACATAGTTAGCGTGGCTATCACTGCCCCTACATAGTTAGCATGGCTATCACTGCCCCTACATAGGTAGCGTGGCTGTCACTGCCCCTACATAGTTAGCGTGGCTATCACTGCCCCTACATAGTTAGCATGGCTACCACTGCCCCTACATAGTTAGCATGGCTATCACTGCCCCTACATAGTTAGCGTGGCTACCACTGCCCCTACATAGTTAGCATGGCTGTCACTGCCCCTACAGAGTTAGCGTGGCTATCACTGCCCCTACATAGTTAGTGTGGCTACCACTGCCCCTACATAGTTAGCGTGGCTACCACTGCCCCTACATAGTTAGCATGGCTATCACTGCCCCTACATAAGTAGCGTGGCTGTCACTGCCCCTACATAGTTAGCATGGCTACCACTGCCCCTACATAGTTAGCATGGCTACCACTGCCCCTACATAGTTAGCGTGGCTATCACTGCCCCTACATAGTTAGCATGGCTATCACTGCCCCTACATAGTTAGCATGGCTATCACTGCCTCTACATAGTTAGCACGGCTTCCACTGCCCCTACATAGTTAGCGTGGCTACCACTGCCCCTACATAGTTAGCATGGCTATCACTGCCCCTACATAGGTAGCGTGGCTGTCACTGCCCCTACATAGTTAGCATGGCTACCACTGCCCCTACATAGTTAGCATGGCTACCACTGCCCCTACATAGTTAGCGTGGCTATCACTGCCCCTACATAGTTAGCATGGCTATCACTGCCCCTACATAGTTAGCATGGCTATCACTGCCTCTACATAGTTAGCATGGCTATCACTGCCCCTACATAGTTAGCATGGCTATCACTGCCCCTACATAGTTAGCATGGCTAGCACTGCCCCTACATAGTTAGCATGGCTATCACTGCCCCTACATAGTTAGCATGGCTATCACTGCCCCTACATAGTTAGGGACTCATTTCCCACTGGGATCAGCTTCATAGTCATGGTAGGACACTCCTTGAGTTAATTCATTTTGCTCAGGCTACTCTTAAGCCCACATCCCACCAAATGTTGAAAGAGCGATATTATTGCCATTACTGTTAATATATAGTAGACATTTTACACAGTAATAAAAAGGTATGGGGGGATGGTCATTTAAGGAGGATGCTATCCCCCTCAAATGGTAAATGTCCTGTACTTATATAGTGCCTTTTTTCAAGTTAGGTAACTTGACCAAAGCACTTTACACCACATTCATTCACTCATTCACACACACACTGATGTTGGCAAGCTACATTGTAGCCACAGCTGCCCTGGGGCTCACTGACAGAAGCGGGGCTGCCGTACACTGGCGCCACTGGGCCCTCTGACCACCATCAGTAGACAATGCAGGTGTAGTGTCTTGCCCAAGGACACAACGACAATGAAAATCAGAGCCAGGGCTTGAACCGTCAATCCTTCGATTTCAGGGCAAACTCCTACATCCAACGCCACTGTCGCCCCAACTTGAGTACTTGTCCAACTTTTTCTCCAGATAGCTTGTTGGTTTATTTCCGGTTTTCCATGAAGGCAGAGAGTGAAGTACAGGATTAGAGGTGTTGAAAACAGAAGTGGTCGTTAGACAGATGTCTGGTACCTTTTGGACAAAGCGGTTAAAAAATGGTGCCATAGAAAAGACTAGATAGATGGATGGATGATGGATGGATGGATGGATGGATGGATGGATGGATGGATGGATGGATGGATGGATGATGGATGGATGGATGGATGGATGGATGGATGGATGGATGATGGATGGATGGATGGATGGATGGATGGATGGATGGATGTGCCTCTGCTGTCATAGGAACTTTGGACTTTAGGTACCAGAGACCCACTTAAAGCGACCTCCTCTCTAACTGTGGACGTTTGTTTCTCATGAAGGAACTGGTGTGCGTTTGTCCTCACAAAGACAGTGAGCTGTGTGGTGGAGGATGGAGTAGAAACCTACGTCAAGCCGGATTACCATCCATGCAACTGGGGCAGTGGACAGTGCAGCCGGGTCGTGGTGTGAGTTAATATTGACCCATTTCTACCTGAAACTCGCAGAACTGTTAGACTGAGCCTCCATGTTTGGTGCCTCTGCAGCTACCGGACCTACATGAGGCCGCGCTATAAAGTGGCCTACAAAACCGTCACAGAGATGGATTGGAAGTGTTGCCACGGTTACAGTGGACAGGACTGCACCATTGGCCCAGCCGGTGGAGCAGGAGCCCATGTGTCCAATGGAGCGGGGACAGGAAGCAGTTTAGGACCCGGACAGAATGGAGGTAAAATTTAAAGCCGTTTGCTGAAAATCTGCAGATGTTTTAACCCTCCTAAGGTCTAGTTTTTCATATTCCTCATGTTTCATTGACTTCCACTAGGTGGCAACAGTTTCACTGTAGTTGGTATGCGCATACAAAAGAAGAAAAACAACTTTTCTTCTATTATGAGGCCGTTTAATCATTGAGGGATTTAAACTGATCCCTTAGAAACGTTTCTAATTTATATTATTTATGCTAATGGATCCATCGTACTTGAACCTTTCCTTCCCGTCCAGGTCGGCAGGACCGCCAGGAAATAAGGGAGTTGGAGGAAAAGATCCGGAGGTTGACGGTGAAGCTGCAGGACTTCCAGTCCACCATGGATGAACGCTTCCAGCAGGAGCCTTCAAAGCCAGGGAAACACCCGGCAGACGCTGCTCCGCCGGAGATGAAAGAGACGATCCACAGCATTCAGACCAAGCTGGACCAACTGGACAACCGCACCAAGGTGACTCCGACTCCTGCGGGGTCCCACTGCACGGCAGAGGAGAATTTGTTTAAATTAAATACTTTGACAGAATCCCCACCTGGAAGGACATCGTTCCAACAGGTTGATGCTGGTGCTTCTTGCCCTTTGGGTCTTTGTCAGCTACTGTTGCTTCTGGCTGGACCTTAGTGGCCTCGCCATGTCTTTGTCCAAATACGTCGTCTCCTTTTCTTTTTAGGGCTTTCAGCCCAAATTACCCAAATTATCAAGGCAGTGCGTTTCACTCTAGGGAGATTCCTATTCCTCTTCTACTGGTTTGGCTTCTGGATAGACCAGTCCGAGTAGCGAGTCCCACCTGGTTTCTAGACGTATAGTGTGAGCAGGTAGATCGCATCAGAGCGTCAGGCCGCACAGTGTGAGGACATGCATTGCGAGCTGTGAACTCACACTGTGCGATGTAGCTGCATGCAACGATTGGAAAAATCACAGAGTATGCCCGGGTTACCAGGGTAGAACCTATTGTTCAGTCCTGAGTAGAACCTAGTGCAGGATAGATAGGATGGATAGAACCTTGAGTAGAACATATGCTAGAACATTTGGTAGATTCTTGGTTAGAATGAAGAATAGAACCTCAGATAGAACAGAGTCCAGCTCTTTGAGAAAAGCCTACGTTAAAACATAATTTAGAACCTTGCATTGGACTTTTAATAGAATCTGGAGCAGAACATATTCTGTAACCTGGGTGTTGTGGAATAATATATGTATATTCCTGTAGATAATGAATAAATGATTAACTAGAACTGGAGTTGTAGTTAATTATTTAACTTATTCAAAATCTGAGGTAAAATCATTTTGGTGTTCTTAGTTGAAAACCTGTAGCTCTAATCTGCTCACTTACCAGGGTTTTGTGCCTTTCACCTCTGAGTGGCTCCTGGGTCGGCTGTTAAAATCCAGTTATTCCCACCAATGTAGTGACTTTGGCTAGGCTATCTGCAGAGCTTTTAATAATAAAATAACTATTTATCTCTGTTTATTCAAACTGTCACCAAAAGGAGGGTGGATCTAACCTGAGTGATAAACCATTCGTATATGAAACACAAACAACTGCAAGTTCAAACAATGATGTCTTTATTCAAATAATTCAGGATTGTAGAAATCTAACATCTATGCAAAACACTAAACGCTATTAGAAAATAAACACAAGGTAGACTAAAGGACTAGTTTTGAAAGAAAGAGAAAAACAAGGTTCCTAGAGGCTGTTGAGGTAATTTTTAAAGGTTATTCAGGGAGAACCAAGGTCAATACATTCATTAATGTCCGTTCCAGATAGCAGCAGATACAAATGCAATGATAAATACGTTAAAACAATGTAACTTCATTCAGCTTGTGATGACTTCTTTACAAAGGCATTAAAAATGCAGCATTGTGGCTCCTCAGTAAAACTCATTCAGCAAAGCTAGTTCGATAAAGGGGTGGAAGGATTCTTAGGCTACGTTCAAACTGCAGGCCTTGATGCTCAATTCCGATTTTTTTTCGAAATCCGATTTTTTTTGCGTTGCCGTTCATATTTCCAAATATATGCGACTTGTATGTGATCTCCTGTGTGAACTGCAGTCATACAACCTAAGGGTCCCGCATGCGCAGTAGAGGACGCAATGACGTCACAGGTCAGGGTGCTCTGAGTTTACGGAAATAAACATGGCTGGTAGCGCCGGCGCACATCTATCGGTCTTTTCCAACCATAAAAACTCAATCTTTTCAGTTTGGTTAAACATAAATACTGCTCTCCGCATTATCATCCGCCATGGTTGTTGTTTTTCTTGCTGCTTCTGTGTAGCAAGACCCAGAATAGTGACCTTTGTCGAGTATTGATAGCGTTCAGGTTGGATAAATCCGACCTGGCCGTTCAGACACAGGTCGCATTTGAAAAGATTAGATTCGTATCGGATTCAGGACCACAGAGCCAAGCGGCCTGGGTCATATTGGAAGAAATCGGATCTGTGTTGATCAGACTGCCATGAAAAGATCCGATTTAGGTCGCATATGGGCAAAAAAATCGGATTTGGGTGACTTCAGGCTGCGGCGTGAACGTAGCCTTTGATGCACCGTCAACAAGGCAGATTAAGATGGAGGTCCACTACCATGTGGTCTGGAGTGGGGTTGCAACAGGCTGGAAACTACCGGATGGTGATCACATGACTAAAGGGGAAGGTTGGACTTCAATGGGCGTAACTTAAATTACAAAATGGCTGCTCCTAACATGTGGTTGCATACGGTTCAAAAGCAAACAGACCCTCAGCTAGTCTACTACACTAACCTTAGAACAAAGCGGAAAACAAGAAAATCAAGATGGTAAAAAAGAAAACACTCAACTCATTCACACCACATCAGAAATCAGAGCTCTTTGTACCTTTCAGTTTAAACATCAGCACAGAGAATCCAAAGTTCAAATAAATGCTTTAAAACTAACAGCTCGCCCAAGCTTAGCACCTAATTTAAAGCATCAGACGGAATAACAGAAGGTTTTACTGTGAGACGTCAGCAGTCCGGGTGAAGCAGAAGGAAGTTCAGCTTCGGTTTGTAGCTCCACCCAAGTCTGTCCAAAGCAGGTCGATTGGCTATCGAACGAGGGCGTCCCCTCGCAGACACACCGTTTCAACGATCTGCGGTTCCCGTCCTCAAAGGGGGAATTCCACAAACAGCATGCAGAAGGAGACGCCGTTCTTTCTCACACAACTCAGCGGGAAGGCACCATTATACCCTGCAGTCCATGAGTTTCATGGCAGAAAGCTAGTTTCAGATAGCTTCCAGGGATATCAGGCACAATTATACCCTGCAGTCTGTGGCTTTGGCGGCAGGAAAAGAGGACAGCTAATTTAGCTAGCTACCAGAGAACATCCTACGTGGAATTTGACTCTGACCTGGATGACTGAGAACCTTCAACAGAAACCTTGACTGAAGCATTATCTAGAGTTTTGGGTATAACCTAGTTGGGTGAATCCTGTGCAGACTTCTCTGTAGATCCGATACTAGTAATGGTTGTGGATAATCTCTGGTAGAACCTTTAATAGAGCCTCGTTGCAGGGAGCTGATCCTCTCTGTCCTGCAGATGTTCTTCCTGCAGCACATTTCCTCACTGCTTCTTCTGATCTTGTCTCTCCATCAGGCTCACGATAAAACTCTGGTTAGCATCAACAACCACCTGGTCAACGGGAAGGAGAAAGAGCTGGAAGGAGATCATTCAGGTGGAGCTCTGAATGGAGAGAAGCTGAACTCCCTGAAGGAGAACATCCTGAAGGAGCTGGAGAGCAGGGTGCTGCTGTCCTGCTCAACATGCCAGGTAAATCCTGGTCCTCTGAAGAGTGTTTTATATGAAGAAGGTTAAATTAAGGTTTTATATGAAGAGTTTTTCCTGCTGTTGTCAGGTCGGCGTGGAGGATCTGCGGCGACAGCAGGAGGAAGACCGGGAGAGGATCCGAGCTCTGGAGAAGCAGCTGAATGCTGCAGATGTTCGGTACCGACAGGACCTAGCAAGGCTTCAACAGGAGGTGCAACGCTCGCAGAGATGCTGTAGCTCCATCGATGACCTCCAACGTCGTGTCAGTGATGCAGAGAACAAAATCAGTGTATCGTCTGAGAATTTATACAATCTCCTCAACAGTCTGGACTCCAGTAGAACAGACGGAACAAGCAATGGGGGGGAATCGAAAGGAGGGGAACCGGCTGTGGGTGAAGGTACCAGAGATGGTGGGGTGAAGAATCTACTGAAGGACCTGGAGCTTCACATCAACACTGGCGTACAGCAAACTGAGAAGAACTGCTCTTACTTAGAAAAAGACATGAAGGACTACGTCCACAAACAGGTGGACGACCTGAGGACGGTTTTATTGGATCGCTTCGACGACCGGACTTTCAGAATCCAAGATGTGGAGTTGGAGGTTGAGCAGGTGCAGAAAGAGATGTCTGACCACAATGAGCGGCTCTCTGAGTTGGAGAACAGAACCTCTGCGACGAGTCGCAGGATAGAGGAGTGTGGCTGTGGAGGTTCTAACGGTGGGGGAGGCCAAGGAGGAGGTGGGGGAGGTGTCACTGGATCTGGTGGTTCTGGTGGAACTGGGGGAGGTGTCACTGGATCTGGTGGAACTGGAGGAGGTACCACTGGATCTGGTGGAACTGGGGGAGGTACCACTGAATCTGGTGGAACTGGGGGAGGTGTGACTGGATCTGGTGGAACTGGGGGAGGTGTCACTGGATCTGGTGGAACTGGGGGAGGTACCACTGGATCTGGTGGAACTGGGGGAGGTGTCACTGGATATGGTGGAACTGGGGGAGGTGTCACTGGATATGGTGGATCTGGTGGAACTGGGGGAGGTGTGACTGGATCTGGTGGAACTGGGGGAGGTGTCACTGGATCTGGTGGAACTGGGGGAGGTGTGACTGGATCTGGTGGAACTGGGGGAGGTGTGACTGGATCTGGTGGAACTGGGGGAGGTGTCACTGGATCTGGTGGTTCTGGTGGAACTGGGGGAGGTGTCACTGGATCTGGTGGAACTGGAGGAGGTACCACTGGATCTGGTGGAACTGGGGGAGGTACCACTGAATCTGGTGGAACTGGGGGAGGTGTGACTGGATCTGGTGGAACTGGGGGAGGTGTCACTGGATCTGGTGGAACTGGGGGAGGTACCACTGGATCTGGTGGAACTGGGGGAGGTGTCACTGGATATGGTGGAACTGGGGGAGGTGTCACTGGATATGGTGGATCTGGTGGAACTGGGGGAGGTGTGACTGGATCTGGTGGAACTGGGGGAGGTGTCACTGGATCTGGTGGAACTGGGGGAGGTGTGACTGGATCTGGTGGAACTGGGGGAGGTGTGACTGGATCTGGTGGAACTGGGGGAGGTGTCACTGGATCTGGTGGAACTGGGGGAGGTGTGACTGGATCTGGTGGAACTGGGGGAGGTGTCACTGGATCTGGTGGATCTGGTGGAACTGGGGGAGGTGTCACTGGATCTGGTGGATCTGGTGGAACTGGGGGAGGTGTGACTGGATCTGGTGGAACTGGGGGAGGTGTGACTGGACCAGGTGGAACTGGGGGAGGTGTCACTGGATCTGGTGGATCTGGTGGAACTGGGGGAGGTGTCACTGGATCTGGTGGAACTGGGGGAGGTGTCACTGGATCTGGTGGAGCAGGAGAATCTGAAGGAGGTGTCAACGGAACACATGGAGAAGCAGGAGGAGATGGAGGTAAAAGAGGAGAATTACCCAAAGAGAGAGACACTATGACCAAGAAATCTCTGGAGTGGAGAGTTATCGCCAACGAGGGTCAGATTCGACACTTCAACACTCGGCTGAAGGACCTGTCGGTGTCTGGAGACTCTCTGCACGATAGGGTGAGTTCAGACCACCTCTGCCTGTGTCTTAGAAATAGGACTGAAACCCGATACCTACACATTTTTTTCTGAAATTACATTAAATTTAAACGTAGGTCAGAAGTTTCCTGTTTAGGACAACTTCTCTGGTTTTAGACCAAAAAGGATTCAGCTCCTTACATTCACAGCTGATGCAGCTAATAGCAGGTTATTCCAGGACATTAGCATTAAATGGAAGCTTGGAGGCACCTCTAGATTAAATCCTGATTAGGTTAGGCTCAGGTCTGTTTGGTTGCCTAACAACAGACGTCTTTAGAGCAAAGTTCTGAGTCACATGACTCATTCTGGCCATCATCTAGTTTAAACATCAGAAAAACAGTAACTGTGAAACGTGAGGATAATCTGTCATGAAATCCTGCTATTGAAAGCTAATTCCACTTTGTAGTCTCCTTTTATTTGTGCATCCATAGCGGAATAAAAGTCAGGCATCCTGAGAATTAGCTCTGGAAGTTTGCTAACTGTCAATACAAAATTAAAAATCAGATCAATCAGTTGGTCCCATGTAACCTGTGAAACATTCTCGTCAGTCTGACGATTTACTTGGAAATCCGTTGAGAGTTCACTGGATTGAGAGCGCCTAAAGTCATAGAATAGGGTTAGCATCCATTGATGTGTATTGTCTCTGACAGCAGCTTGGTCTGACCCAAGATGGACGTTGTGTTGGTACGCCTCTCACCCAACAATGTGGGTTCTATCTATGTCTATCGTAGCCACAGCTGACTCGGGGCACGCTGACCCTCAGGCTCCAGCAGACCCTCTGATCACCATCAGCAGGCAGTAAAGGCCGCCACTAGAAGAGACTGTTGAAGTTCCTAAGGCTTCTCTGTAAAAAAAAACAACAAAAAAACCCACAAAATTTCAAGAAAACACATGTTTTTCTTGAAATCTGAAACAGATGTTCAAAAACCTTCTAGAAAATAGAAGAATGAATATCATCAGGGCATCAAGGCTTAAAAATTTAAAAACCAGAACATGTAGGTACATGATGTACAGGATGATAAACTGAGATAGAATCCAGGACATGCACTGCAAAAATGACATTAAGATTAGTCAAAAAAATTCTATAGATAAGTGTATTTACCCTTAATTTGAGTAAATACACCTTAATATGAGATGACCTGCCAATGGAATGGATATGTTTGTACGGTGGCCCTCAAGTGCAAACTGCAACTACAAATCTAAAAGCGCAACTACATTAAGGAAAACAAAATTACATGAACCTACCGGAAAAGGTAGGTACCAGTGGGAAACATGAGACATCGCTGATTGGAAGACGGCGCCGTTTGACCCTTGAACCGGAAGTTGCGTCGTCTGAACAGTCCAGCTTCTTTTAAGTGTGTCTTCAGTGTACGCAAACTAACTGAATTTTCGTGATTAGTCTTGAGCATATCCAGTATCACCTCGTACGTATGTCCTGATTCAAAATATTCCTGGATAACGGCAGCTATGTTTGGGGCGCCGACAATATCCATGTTTTCAAAAGCCGCAGCAGGCAGAATGACTTCCGGTTCAAGGGTCAAACGGCGCCGTCGTCCAATCAGCGATGTCTCATGTTTTGTCTGTGTTTTATGCCATTTAGTGATATTTCATAGTAAATCCTGAGTTGTGGTCGGCTGATGTGAGGAACTGCTCTGGCGCTTGGATCATAACATACAAATGACTGTCCAGGTTCTGGACCTGAGCCATGACGTCAGAGCCATCAAGTCTCTGACCGGAGACAACGGGGAGAACTTCAACCGCATCGTGATGGAGGTGGAGCTGCTGGGGCAGGACTGTGAGCTCTGTGGGAAGGTGGAGGAGGAGCTGCGAAGGCTGAGGAACGAGTCCCAAGACCTGAGCAGGATCCAGGAGGATCTGCAGAACATGCAGAACCAGATCCGCTCCATCCAGACCAGACTGGACTCGGAAGGAGGTGGCTGCGACCGGACCTGCTCGCTGCTGCAGGACGAGGTTCGTGTGCTGCGAGCCGAAGTGAAAAGGTGCAGCGAGCGATGCGGGACGGGTTCTGATAGCTTCACAGGTCAGATCCAGCTTCACCCTTTTACCTCTTCTGTCATCATCTCCCAAGTTCTGTTTCAGGTTCTACAGGGAACCAAAACGCACGGAGCATTTATTGAACAGATTTAGGACCTTCTGAGCTCAGTAACGTTAGCCCGTCCGCGGCATCCAGGGCTAACGTTAGCCCGTCCGCGGCATCCAGGGCTAACGTTAGCTCGTCCGCGGCATCCAGGGCTAACGTTAGCCCGTCCGCGGCATCCAGGGCTAACGTTAGCCCGTCCGCGGCATCCAGGGCTAACAATAGCCCGTCCGCGGCATCCAGGGCTATGTTAGCCCGTCCGCGGCATCCAGGGCTAACGTTAGCCCGTCTGCGGCATCCAGGGCTAACGTTAGCCCTTCCGCGGCATCCAGGGCTAACGTTAGCCCGTCCAGGGTATCCAGGGCTAACGTTAGCCCTTCCGCGGCATCCAGGGCTAACGTTAGCCCGTCCGCGGCATCCAGGGCTAACGTTAGCCCGTCCGCGGCATCCAGGGCTAACGTAAGCCGGTCTGCGGCAGCCGTCTTTCTGCATAGCCATGTGTGAAGTAGAGACTGACATTTTTTCGGGAATCCCACGGGTCACGGGATTCCCGTGGGATTCCCGTGGGATTCCCGTGGGATGGGAGTCAGTATTAGTAACAATCACGGGATTGGGACGGTACAGGATTAAACATTAACGGGAGCAGACGGGAGCGGGAGCAACCCAATAGTAACTTCCGCTCTGAGTTTTTCACCCGCGCTCAAAAACAACAAGAATGGGAGTGGTGCAGGAGCGGGAGTCATTCTGAATGGGAGCGGGGTGGGAGTGGGAGTAATTTCACCAGGAGTGGGACGGGACAGGATTTAGATTTCTACTCTGGTCCGGGATCGGGACGGGACACCATTTTTTTCTGTGGGAGTGGGACGGGACAGGAGTGAAAATCCACTCCCGTGTCAGTCTCTAGTGTGAAGTACCGCTGGCACTGATAGTGATTTTTTCTGTTTTATATGGCAAAATAAAACATTCATTTGATTTGTGTTTATCTGACTGTGTTCATTATTATTCCTCCACTAAATGGAAAAAGTCAGAATTTATTATTATCTAGAGACTATTAATAACAGGAGGTGAAATGCAGCTCCAGACGAGCTGAGCGTGTGGTGATGTCATCAGTACGCTTCTGTTCCAGTTTACCCAGATTATTCTGCGTGCTCCCGTTTTCCCCGGGTCCAGACCTTCCTTGGTTCTTCTCAAGAACATACTTGGCGAGAACACGAGTCTGTACTCGCGTTCTAGTGAATTGAGAAATGGCCTTGGTCTTTTTCCAGATATTAGCTACATAAAAACGTTGTTTAGTCATTCCTTTTCAATTCTAAACTTCTGTAATTCATTCTAAATATTTGTAGTTAATTCTAAATGTTAACTTTGACGGCATGTTGATAAATGTCTGAATGAACCTATTGGAACCTGACAGGAAGTATTTGTCTCCTACAGGTGATGGTTCCACTGGTACCAGTGACCCTGGTTCTGGTGGATTTGGCCCCAGCTTGGATGCAGAGAAGCCTTTAGATGGTCACAGCGTGATCGGAGGATCCTTCAACAACAACCAGCTGAAGTCCCTGCAGGGCGAGCTCACCGAGGTCGTCTTCGCCTTCAGCTCCATCAACGACACCCTGAAGGGTCTGGAACACACGGTGCAGAAACATAGCAGCGTCATAACGGACCTGGGTGAGCTCAGAAACGCCGTCCCTCTGCTCTCATCCGGCAGCTTCCACGCCAGCTTCATGTCTCTCCGTCTCTGAACTCTGACAGGAAACACCAAGGATAAGATCATCTCTGAGCTGGACAAGATGCAGCAAGAGGTGACGGAACACATCCAGGAGAGCCTGGGAAACCTGGACAGGATGGACCGGGATTTCCGGCGCTTCGAGAACATGATGGTGGTAGAGATGGGGGAATGTAGGAGGTCCGGAGAAGGACTGGAGAAGAGACTGTCCAAGATGGAAGGAGTGTGTGGAAGGCTGGACGGCGTCTCTGAATCCATCAATAAGGTTAAAGAAGGTGTGTTTGACTGATCAGGCTTCGTTAGGCAAATATCTCCTCATGGTGACGTAATCGTTGCTTTAGTCCAGCATTCAACACTGTTGATGACTCCATTTTATTGAAACAGGAGAAAAACTGGGTGAGCCTTTCTGGGACAGAACAGGACTTTTTTAAGGAGAGGGACATTTCTGTCCGTAGGTAACTTTACAACAGAGACCACAAAAATCGCATGTGGCGTTCCCCAAGGGTCCATCGTAGGACCCTTTCTCCGAAACACGGTTGTACATTACAATGTCACCAGGTGACTATGAACCAGAGCATGTGAGCGGAGCGGAGTGTGGAGCGAGCGGTGGAGCGGAGCGTAAGAAACATGGTGGAGCGCAGAGCGGTGTTCAATTCCCAGGCCGGAGCGAGGATTTCGCTCCAGTTCGCTCCAACTTTATTAAAATTCATGTTTGACTTAAAACCTGGGCCAATGCCTATGCTGTAGTCTGTGCTTATGATCTGTGATCTGCTATAGTCTATGTTTCAACTTTACCACGGAAACGCTGAGGCGAGGATTGCATATAGTTTGATAAAAAGTGGGATAAAATATCATAAAAACATTCACTAACTATACTGAACGATACAGAGGGGGCTTACGTAAAGTGATCGATGTTGTAAGAGCCTGTTTTTGACAATGGATCGCATACATGCACTGTACGCTATTATCTGATTTGCAAAGGGATGCAAAGCAACTTTTTTGATGTGGTCTAATAAAATAAATGAATAATTAAACCAGGGTCAACATGAATGGAGCGAGGTGTTACATTCAGAGCAGGGAAACAGTGCGATAATTTAACAGCCAGTTAAATGAGACAATCCACATGTATCGGTCATATTATTAGATGAAACGTTGTGTGTCGCAGAGCAATGGCATCATTACAGGAAGGAAAAATGTCAGAAAATGAAAGTGAGCGCGGAGCGGATTTTGAATGGAGCGGATTTGCAGAAGAGCGTCCTGCTGCAACTTTCAGTGGCGGAGCAAATGAGCGAACGTCCTCATTTGCTCAGCGGTAATTGCACGGCGCTCCGTTCACATGCTCTGCTACGAACCCATTCAGATCTGGATAAATGCATAGAAGAAATTAGAAACTGGAGTCCATAGGAAGAGGTTTTAAAAGTAAATCCAACTAGAAACCATCAACCAGGGTGTAGAGATGAACTCAGACCTGAATCATCCGTCCCATTTCCACTGCCTTTTAAACCGTGCTGAGATCGGTCCAATCACGGTAACCAAGATAACTGTTGAGTGTTAATGGCACGCTCAACCGAACCGGACCGTGCCGGACACAACCGGACCGCGCTAACATGGTACTAGTTCATCAGTAGGGCTCGGCGCGGTTCAGTTCTGGCTCGTTCTCAGATAACAAAGAGCGCATGAGCAGACCGCGTCATCACCTCACAGTCAGCCTCCGTAATCAGGAAATTTCATAAAAATGCCTAGCTTCCCTAGCCTGACGTAGTCCGACTGAATTCTAGTCAGAATGAGTCTGATGCTGCTCCATAGAGCTGTGATTATGGGGCGTGTTTCGAACGAACCAGGAAAAAAAATGCCTCTGCACTCAATTGGATAGACCTACAACCAATAAGAGCAACGGAGTGCGTGGCGTATGTTAAGCCACGCATAGTTGTTGTTAACAAAAATCAAAGCGTGCAGTTGCACGCCTAGAATAAGAAGATGAGCCTTGATGGCGTTTCTCTGTTCCTCTTTTAAAATTAATTTGCTGTCGATATCTTCTAGAACAGACCTAATAGCAGAATCTACTCACCCAAACTCTCCAGCGGCAGCCATTGTTGTTGTCACCCAAGCGCGCTTTGGTGACGTGGTTGATTACGTTACTGTTGATCATCTGTCCATCATCGTATAAAGCCCGCCCTGACAATTTGATTGGCCCGCCAGATATTGTGCTAGCATACTCGCGCTACTATTGAGCAATGCCAGACCGAACTTCCCCACCTCAAACGTTGTGGGCGGGACTAAGTTCGGAATGGCACCCAGGCTATAGCTTCCCTACCGTGCCACACGATTTCCAGTGATGATTCTGCTCAGCAGCGTGATGAACCTCAACGTCTGTCGTTTCCTGCGTCTGGAAGCCCTGATTAGACGATCGTTTGTCGACTATATCAAGTAAATAACCATTCACCATGTAGCCTGATAATCCAGACTAAATGTGAGATTAAAGGTCTAATCTAGTCTGGCCCCGATGAATGAGACATCGGAAGATTGTTGGTGAGAACAACCCGTTGTTTTTCAAACCATGTCTGTGCCTATTGGCCAACGCTCTGACCAATGAGGAGCTGACTGCGATGTAGGAAGCGCCACAGGAAGCTGGTGGGGAAGTGGAAACAAACAGCCTGTCGGTAAAACGGTGAATCCGTCCTTCTATAAAATGAACGAGCGTAGAGCCTCTTCCTGCTCACGTTTCAACGAAAAACCCGAACCTCGTCTAACCCTTCCAAATTGATTCCCCAGCTGAGTCAAACCAGAACTGTTCAATAGTTGCTGCCATCTTCCTTGCTGTGTTTTCTCCAGCGTCGTGGAGCTTTGTCGTCACGACGCTCAAAACCCGCCCGCTTTTCATCCAATAATTCCAAACACATCTCTGCGTTGTGATTGGCCCGCCAGTTCTAGGGCCTGGGGCATTGATGGAGGCTAGACCACTGCTGGTGGGTGGGGCTAATTTACTAGGCTACAAAGGCTGCCTCCTTCGCCTGACTCTCCACAAACTTCCTGAATGTTACGGGCGCGGCCATGTTGGTTGGCTTGTTTCCCTCTAGAGAGCAGTAGTACCGTAGATCGACACTAGGAGGCGAGGAAGCGTACTTGCGTGTCGTAAGGAGCCGAGCTCGGCAGGTTTAACCGATCCAAGCTCGGCCCGGATCGGTTTGTAGAGGGTAGAGGAAATGGGGCAGTAGGCCTTAACGAAGTCACCCTTCTATCAGCTAAAGATCATCTCTAGGATAAAGGAACCAATCAGGAACTAAAAACATTTTATTGCAGCTTTGTCATCACCGCTCAGCCATAATTTAACCCCTTACTGATTTAGAGCTTTTTGGATCAAACCATGAACCACGATTAAACCCAGACTGACTGTAGGTTTACTAGAGAGGCCTAACTTCCTGACTCTAGATTTCAGGGTGGAGGAATTCATTACTCCCACATAGTGGAGAAACATACAATTAATAAACTTTACAGAAGTAGAAGCATAAAAATTAATAAAAACTAAATACATGAAAATGATCCCTTTACTTGCTAGAGTGCTTTATTGGCAATGATTGGAGGTAGAGAGGGAGCGTCTGACAGCGATGGGGAGTAAGGATCTGGGGTGACGCATCTCAGCGCCTCTGAGGGAGCTGCTCAGTTTTCCACAGAGGTGGACGGGAGCTCGGCTAACTAACAGCCTTCCACAGACCTCCTCTCATGGGAGGAGTTTATTGTTGTGGTTCTTTAACCCCCCCCCCCCCCCCCCCCCCCCCCCATGCTCTTCCTCTTTTTTCTGCAGGAATGAACCATCATGTGTCGGGTTTGTGGACGTACGTTTCTGGTCTGAACCAGTCTGTCAGCCAACATGGAGGAATCCTGAACTTTATTCAGAAGAGCCAGGACGACATCCACAGCAGGATGAAGAACCTGAACTCCAGCCTGAACCAGGTGCTGAAGCTCCAGCAGAGCTTCTCTGGCGCCACGGGTGAGATCCTTCATCTCTGCTCTTTAGTTCTGGTTCTGATGGTTCTGCTCTCCTCCTGCTTTTCAGAAGACAACTTTATTTCATCTCTTTGAACTGATGACAGGTCAGATCATGTCAGACAGTTGCTGCCCTCTGCTGGACTTTGTGTGTAACCTCACAGTGTGGCTAACCTGGACACCTTATTCTAATTAAAGGATGCAGCTATGGTTACCATGGTGACAGAAAGTAACAAGCCTTAAAACTGAAAATGAAACTGAAAGATGATGTCCCTCATCTATTAGCCCAAATATGTTAGAAAAGGCTGCAGACTCAAACCGGCGGTCCTGAAACCTAAACTTTGCTTTTCGGAACCTGAATTAATATTAATTTTATAACTTTGCATCTAAGTTTGAAGAAATTAAATTCTGTAAAAAGTGTCAGATTTTAACATTGTTTTAAAATGTCAGCATTAATACAATAGATTATAATCTAATATTAATTCACAGAAACATATGAGATATTTTTGGCATATTTAGGTTGAGGTTATATTTATTTTTATTGAAATGTATTCATAGTTCCTAAATTAACCATCCATCTATTTTCTGGCACGCTTTATGCCAAGTGGGGGCGCTGTCTACGGGCAAGAGGCAGGACACACCCTGGGGGGGTCGCCAGTCCATCACAGGGCAACACTAGAAATCTGAGATGTTTGAAATGTTCAGAGATCAGTTTCTTTTCTAAATGTTCTAACACTGCGTTTCAATTTTAAAGTTGCTTGCCATGCTTCCTAAGGCCAGAGTCTGGTTGTCATTTCAGGGTCTGCCATATTGCCTGGTTAAAACGCAGAAAATGTAATTTTGTATAATTTAAAAACAAACTTTAGTTCAATCGATCGGATCTAAGCAGACAGAAATGTTCTTCAGCTGGAGCTGCTGTTTCTTAATTTGTAAAATTTTTAACTAAATTTTTAAACAACTTTTTACCCACAGGACCCCCAGGACCTCCAGGAGAAATAGGCCTCCCTGGGGTGCAGGGCCCCCGGGGGCCCCCCGGACCTCCTGGACTAAAAGGAGAAACTGGCTTCCCAGGTTTGCCAGGTAGGAAACTTTTTAGCCACAAATGGCGGCGGGGTTCCCAGCTGTGTTAACAGCTGGAAGGACTCTTCAGATCATGAGTCCTGAACCAGGCTTGATGGATCTAACAGCTGTCCCTCTGCTTGCTTCCAGGGCCAAAAGGTGAACCAGGTATGTTCTCCTGGACCGTCGGACTCGTCCCATCAGCCAGGCAGCCATCCTCACGTCCCTCTCTTCTCCTCAGGTCCTCCTGGAGTTGATGCCCGCAGACGCAGGCTGTCCTTCTCCGCCGGCCTCACCGCCCCCAAGGAAACCGCAGGAACCGTCGTCTTCAACAAAGTCTTCGTCAACGAGGACGACATCTACGACCCGGCGACAGGTAAGCAGGTCTCAGCACGAGTCCTTGGGCGGGTCCCACCAGCAGCTGGAGTGAAGATCTAACAGGAATCTGTCCTCCTCAGGTATTTTCACCGCCCCTCTAGCTGGTCGCTACTACTTCAGTGCTGTCCTGACGGGCTACAAGAACGAAAAGATCGAAGCGGTTCTGGCCAAGTCCAACTACAGCGTGGCCCGGGTGGACTCAGGAGGCTATCAGCCCGAGGACCTGGAGGCCAAGCCGGTGGCCGACTCCAGGACCAGTTCCGGCTCTCTGGCCGTCTTCAGCATCGTCCTGCAGCTGCAGCGCGGCGACACTGTGTGCATCGACCTGGTGAGGGGGAAACTCCCTCAGGCTATGGAGCCCCTCACCATCTTCAACGGCATGCTGCTCTACGAAAAACCGTAAGCCTTCATCTGTCTCTGTGAGGGGGGGGGCGGCGGCCTGGATGCAGGACAAACCCGCTGGAGGAGGAGGGACTGGACTCAAAGCTGAGAACATGGAGCAGCTAGAGGGTTTATTTGTGTCTTACTCTGTCCAATCAGCACATCTCATACGGTCACATGATCGGACCCAATCGCCTCTGAAGCTGAGCTGTAGGAACCGAACCACTTCTGTGCTGAAGAGTTAGAAGAACCACACCCTGACTGCAGCTCCTCGCAACCACAAAAAAACTTTATTCAGTTAAATATTAAAGTTTAATATCATAAACATCCAGGATCTGAACCGGTAATATGATGTTTGTCCAGCGGGGGGAGCTAAAGAGCTCAGGACTGATACATTCTGACTCCTGTTGGAAATTTGATCAGAAGTTTTCTAAAATATGTGCCGTTTTCTATCGATCTGCCAGAGGAGAAGCAGATCGGTGCAACTCCTCCAAACCCTGACCCAAGTGTTACCATGGCAACCTTTAGAACCACAGGCCTTGTTGTTTTTATTCATATATTCACTCAGATGAATATCATCATAAACAGGAAGAAACTTCCGGCTCAATGATCCAAGTTTAGCCCGACCAGAACCGCCAGCTTTGGACTCCGTTTAGACTCGTAGTCTGAACAGGTCCTCAAACTTTAAAAAGTTTCCATGTGAAAATATAAACAAGAAAACTAATTTTTGTTCCCTTTTTGGTAAAAGCTTCCAGAAACACCGTAAATATAAGTTTCCAGAATACTGAAGGGTGACCGGTTCATTTAGCTACCATGCAGGGCAGCCAGTCGCGTTTAGAAGCGCTAATCCTGGAAATTAGCGAAATTAGCGGCATAAATCTAATAAAAAGATCCAGATTTTATAGGAAACTCTCTCCTCAAACGGTCTGATGGTGATTAGCCAAATTAATCAGAAAGTAAAGCTTAAAGCATCTTGCATGCTGATGTGAGTGAAGTGCTAGCGTAGCTTAGCATGAGTGATGTGTGAGTAAGAGCCATCAGCCCTGAAGGATTCTGCCAGAAATCAGTACAGCCTTTTTTTCTCTACCATTATTGTGATTTGATTGTGACTTTTCTTTGCACTAAACACAGTTAGGAAGTGAGACAAACGGCTCATAGTCCGAGTCGGTGGGATTTACAGCAAATATTCTGGTCCTGTTTCTGTACTCCAGTTTCTCTGATCTCAGCTGCTTCTGATTCCTGTCAGAACCACAGGATCAAACAATCCATTAAACAGAACCCGTCTGACAACATGAAGCAGGCCAAACACTATCAAACACCAGCAGGTCATGTGAGAGCCTTTATCCACGCCCAGAGAACACGCTCATCAACGGAGAGGCTAACCAACTAAAATCACTCCAAGAGCTTCCCAACAATTCATCCAGGAGGGCACATCCAGAAACAAACATAAAGCTCTGCAAGCCTTATGACATCATTAAAGCATCAGAGGTCAAGGTTCAACCTTAAGGAGAGAAACTGAGCCATAATGGTGTCAAACCTGAGAGAGAGGCGGGGCCACGCTGGACAGGCTACCTGCCCATCGCTGGGCGACGCAGAAACACACTGGACACACAACCAGACGCGCACTCATAGCCTCGCTAACCTTCGGAGCCCAACAGACGGTGGAAGAAAGCTAGAAAAGCTGGAGAGAACTCGGATATTTACTGGGAGAACTGGTGAAATCCAAGCAGAAACAACCGGGCTGGGCTTTAGAGTTGGAGCTCATCCTGCTGCATCTATGAAGCCGTGGCTTCTGAGAGCCAGATGAGGGTTCTAGAATGGCCTACTCACTGTTGCACAACCTCAATCAGCTCTTTATGCTCTATGGTGTGGAATTCAACTGACACTTTATTAGAAAACTAATTTATACACAGATATGTAGAATTTGATCATTGCAATCAGACAGTTCTAAGTCAGTTATATCTAACCAAAGATTGTCCCTGTTTCTGCAGAGCAGGCAGTTTAGTTTATGACTCAGCATGGTTGAAACTTTTTAATCTAAAGAAACCAGGCTGACTGTATAGTGCACAGTTAACATCTGATGAGAGAGAAACAGGAGCAAACCTCCAGTCATTTTCTTTGTATGAGTTTCCATAAAGAATAAAAAATCCTGTCTTTAAAATATTTGTGAACTCAAAGTTAATTCAAAGTAGCATCGTTTCCAGAATCATTAAATGTTAAACATATTTACATAACCTGCTCAAAGAATTTAAATCAAACCAGATTTACTTTAACCCAACAAGCTGTCACCTGCAAAGCAGGCAGCATGGACTGTTGGAGGTGGTATACCTGTGACATGTTACATGTAACACCAGTGTGACACATGCTACATGTAACACCAGTGTGACACATGCTACATGTAACACCAGTGTGACACATGCTACATGTAACACCAGTGTGACACATGCTACATGTAACACCAGTGTGACACATGCTACATGTAACACCAGTGTGACACATGCTACATGTAACACCAGTGTGACACATGTTACATGTAACACCAGTGTGACACATGCTACATGTAACACCAGTGTGACACATGTTACATGTAACACCAGTGTGACACATGCTACATGTAACACCAGTGTGACACATGCTACATGTAACACCAGTGTGACACATGTTACATGTAACACCAGTGTGACACATGCTACATGTAACACCAGTGTGACACATGTTACATGTAACACCAGTGTGACACATGCTACATGTAACACCAGTGTGACACATGCTACATGTAACACCAGTGTGACACATGTTACATGTAACACCAGTGTGACACATGCTACATGTAACACCAGTGTGACACATGCTACATGTAACACCAGTGTGACACATGCTACATGTAACACCAGTGTGACACATGCTACATGTAACACCAGTGTGACACATGCTACATGTAACACCAGTGTGACACATGCTACATGTAACACCAGTGTGACACATGCTACATGTAACACCAGTGTGACACATGCTACATGTAACACCAGTGTGACACATGCTACATGTAACACCAGTGTGACACATGCTACATGTAACACCAGTGTGACACATGCTACATGTAACACCAGTGTGACACATGCTACATGTAACACCAGTGTGACACATGCTACATGTGACACCAGTGTGACACATGCTACATGTGACACCAGTGTAACACATGCTACATGTAACGTGTTATGCGAGATATGCCACATGTAACACGTGTGAGCAATGTGCTACATGTACCACAAATGTAACATGTATAACAGGTGTAACAGGACACGTGTAACATCTATTGTAAGTTATCTGGCTTTTTCGAATGAAATGTTAGGAGTTGTTTTGAAGTTTGTGCCTTATGGTTTAAGCTGTGATCTGACGATGTAACAGAAATATATTTACTATAATCTCTATGAACACATGAAGCGTCCCGTAAATCTGAAAAGGACGGACAGTTTGCACGTCTCAGCAGGAAGTGATGTTTGCTTTTTGGAGAAGTGTTGTGAAAACGGTGCTTAAAGTATTTTACTTTTGGTCCGTTTCCATCAGTGAACTGCTGATGGACTCGTATGTAAAACCAAGTCTCTTCCTCGGGCCTGAAGCAGCATGAAGTTCACGCTTTCTTTACTCAGGATTGTACAGGACTTTTCTGTGTTCGTTTTTGCTTCACATTTCTGTAACAAAAATCTGTACAGCTAACAAATATTTCTGACACTGACAGTTGCTTTTTTAAAGCTCATTAAATGTACTATAAACTGTAAATGTTTTGTTTTATGTCGTCTTAATTCATCCCAAACGCTGACAGCCTCTGACAGGGAACCAAATCTTCATCAGTTTATTGATCAGTTCTTCTGTTTTTTATGAGACAAAGTGAGGCTTTTATATTCAGCTATATTTATCTGAACATCCTGGTGCAAAGTTATAATTTCTTTTAATTTATTTAAAGTCAAAATGATAGAAACAAATAAACAGGAACTGTCTTAAACAGGTGAAACCTATATGTAATTTCTATAGTTGTATCTGCAATACTTAATTCCTCCACCAAGTCACATGGGAGCTGAGTAACTGAAACATTGTCTGGATGTTTTGTTTGTAAAGTTATCAAAATGCAAGAAAATAAATCTGTTATATTGTGTTTGCTTTTATTTTTCTATACAAATTAAATGAAAGATTCTTAATCTATGAGCTTTCAGGGATTAAGGAATAAATATAAATCCTAAAGTAGCATAAATATGAAATGAAGAAAAGGACTCTGAGAGCGCATAGCTCCACCAAGCAGCACATTTTGTGACCTTCTGTAAATCTATAGCTAAACTCTAACATGTGCTGGATCATTACACAATTTAAATGAATCGTTCCTTGGTATGAAACACCTCTGGTAATAATTTCTTTAAAATCCATCCTTAACTTTTGTCCTGTTCAAAGACAAACAGACACATAAACTCTCCTAAAAACACAGCAGAACATTTCAAATCCACCCGTAAAACAAACAGCAGATCTGTTTTCAGCACTTTGACCTGTAATGAATTAGTGGGTCTGTGCTTCTAGTTTGGGGAAGGCCCGGCTCTATTTGAGTGAACAGTGTTTTTAACAGGGTAATAAATGTCACAAAGAAGCCAAAAAGTTCACCTCTTTTATGGAAATTCAACAAAAGCTCTTCAATATGGAGTAAAACTGAACTTTAATTGGATTTTCACTGTATTTTACTACTTTTTGACATAAAACAGCTGCTTTCAGTGATGTTGTTTTGTGGGAAAAACATTTTGGCACTTTTGTCTGTCCATATAGGGGCAGCCTGTACTGTGATGGGGCCCGGGTAAACATGGGAGAGTGTTCAGAAGCTCACCAAGGGGGATAGAGGACCAGAAAAGCAGAAACTTCCAGGGGAAGGCAGTACTTCAAGACCACCATAAGAGGGCAGCAGAGAGCCTCAAAATGTGGAAACACTGCAGTCTATTGCTGTAAGAACCACATTAACCAGAGGAGAAGATTTGTTTCCTCAAACTAACATTGTGACCAATTTCATCTGGAATGCAGTTAATGAAAGTTAGAGAAGTTATTCAGTTAAATTGAAAGGTTTATATTTCTGCTTTCACTTAGAGAGACTCACAAGGAGACGATTAGTGAGTTATTGACATGAGTGAATATAAATACACTATATCACCAAAACTATTCGCTCACCTGCCTTAATCTCTGTTGGGTCCACCATGTTTAAGAGTGTTTATAGGAATCTTTGACCATTCTTCCTGAAGCGCTTTGTGAGGTCACACACTGAAGGTCTACAGGCTGGTTTATACTCAGAAACCAGGTCGTCTGCGTGTGTCACAGTGAACGCAGATATGCCCCGCCCCCTCCGCAGACACTCTGATGCACCTCTCCTCAATTGTAGGTGAGCGCAGACAGGAGGCCTCTGATTGGTCAGATCTACATCCGCTCTACTCTATGCGTATTTCCTGTTTGGTTCCTTACCGGCTGGTTTTGTCTGTCTGACCGCCATTGTGGAAAACGACTGGTGAAGATGGAGCAGCTAGCAGAGCGAGCTGAGAACGCTGGGACCCTTTTTCCTCCTGGATCCCCGCTCTTTTTGGCCCTCATGTTCCTCCGTTGTCGCACAAACTTGCCCCCACTTCCTCACCGCCTCGGCCTTATCTAGACCCACAGCTAGTTCCTGATTGGCCCTCTGGCGTTGTGGCGTGGAATAACATAGTTCAGACCATGCTTCAATACTGGGCAGAAATCATAAACATCGGCAGTCATTCAAGCATTCAGCTCAGACATTACTACTAACTAAATACTGAGGAAAACATTCAGGGAAAGATTTGATCCAGTTCTATGCTGCTCTGTAATGTCTATATCTACATTAAGGAAGATTAGTGACATGACTGATTCCTCAGGTAGTAAAACAGAAAGGATGAAATCTGCTTTGCTTTGTTACGAACCAACTGAACAATTAAACAAGCTTTTATTAACCAAAAAATACGTTTTTCTTATATGTTTGAGCAGGGGCGGTTCTAGACCAAATGTACCAGGGGGGCCAGGAGGGGGCCAGTGTTTTTTCATGGGGGCCCAGAAAAGCAGGAAATAAAAAAAAAAAAACAGGGCAAGGGATTCAGGGCCTGGCCAGAGAGTTTTTTCTTTCTGTTTCAATGATAAAGTCATAAAATTACGAGAATAAAGTCATAAAATTACGAGAATAAAGTCATAAAATTACGAGAATAAAGTCATAAAATTATGAGAATAAAGTCATAAAATTACGAAATAAAGTCATAAAATTACGAGAATAAAGTCATAAAATTATGAGAATAAAGTCATAAAATTACGAGAATAAAGTCATAAAATTACGAGAATAAAGTCATAAAATTATGAGAATAAAGTCATAAAATTACGAAATAAAGTCATAAAATTACGAGAATAAAGTCATAAAATTATGAGAATAAAGTCATAAAATTACGAGAATAAAGTCATAAAATAACGAGAAACCAGTAGTATTTGATGACAGCTCTCAGAAGAAGCCGGAATGTGGAGCATCATGGGAAGTTCTACTTTAGCATCGGTTTGACGAATCAGGAAATCTTTTTAGCAGCAGCATCAAACTGGGCAGGATGTCAAAGTGGACTCTGGTTGCTGATTGGTGGAGCTGGTCTGACATCATCTGCTGGGCGGAGCTACAAGCTTTCTTTCTGAAATGGGTTGCGGTATGATGACTTCATTCTCAAAATAAAAAAAATAAAATAAAAAGTGAAATTTCTATTCAGTTAGGTTTATTTAAAATTCTGTGTCTTATTTGATCAATATACATCCATAACTTAGGAATTTTACATACTTTTGACTTAATTTAAGTTAAAATGACAGTTTTCTCTAAAATGTGAATTAAAACTCAAGAAAAACTGATAAATTCAGCTGTAAAATTTAGAGCAATTTGTTTTGAAAAAAAGCAGATAAAGACTGGGATCCAAAGGACCAATCGGTAAACATGTCTGCTCCAGCGCAGATCATCAATAGAATTTCTGTGAGTGTAATGTCTGCAGTACAGGAGCCATAACAGGGGCCAGGACATGATCTACAGGAGCACCGGCCCCCATTGGCCCCCATCTAGAACCGCCCATGGGTTTGAGTTCACCTTCAGCTTCGACAGACATCCAAAGCAAGCAGAGGAACATGGTGGAGGTAGAGAACAGCCTGGATCAGCTGGTTCAGCTCAGCAAAGCAGCTCAGCTGTCTGGATGAAAACAAATTAAATTTAATTTAATCCGACTTTAATTTCTCTTCTGTGTTTTATTCATCAAGTTTAAATGTGATTAAAAGGAAGTCGCTCAGAGGAGCTCCAGATTTATAAATACAGGATTATTATAGGATTTTATTTTAATTCTTTACTAACTTCCAGGCAACAAAGATGAAAAGCATAAATGTATAAAACGAAATGCTCAAGTTAAAAGATTAAGTAAAATGGTCTTTATTTTAGTTATTTTACCTTCCACTTTTGGACCTATACTCTAATTCAGGGATCTTCAAAGTTTTCCAGGCCAAGGACCCCAAACTGATGGAGAGATGGAGCGGGACCCCCTGATTATATCTATTGTATGAAATAGTGTTCTATCAAACTGGTCCTATAGTCACTCTATTACAGATGGAGTAATGTAACTAAAGTAATCCCTCCCTGGGATTATTAAAGTATTTCTGATTCCTGGTTGATGGGACAGGTGTTGTGAATGAAACGGTGCCCAGCTTGATGTGTGTCGCTGAATGTGAGCATTGATGACTGAAAGACATCTTCTGCCTCCATTTATCTGTTTACTACAGTCTGTTGGATTCATGTTCATGTGGATTTAAAGACATTTCAGTTAAAAAACTGCAGGGAGGGGTATGAAAAAATAGTTTAATCAACCAAAACTTTCACGACCCCCATGCAGTACCTCCGTGGACCTCCTAGGGGTCGCGGACCCCCTGTTGAAGACCTAATCTAATAGGAACGGTCAGGCTTCGAAAAGTTGTTTTTCTTTAACTTGATAAAGTTCGGAATAAACTTAAAGCTGTTCTCTGCTCGAACAGAGTCCCTGTGGATTACATGTTGGCATTAATCAAAGATTATAATCTCTGCTTTGGCTTTATTCAGGACGGACTGCTCCGATTTCTGGATAGAAAAGTTTGGAAGAGGAATAACTCAGGCTCCGCCCCCTGTTGACTCTGAGAGGCAGAAACCATATAAGTCAGGCTTTATTCCAGTCGCCATTTTTAAACCGTTAGAAATTGTCCTGGAGGACAACAGGCGTGATTAAAGCAGCTTTCCTCCTCAGCAGGATTTCTGCTCCATACCATAACGGTGAGAACTTTAGGCAGCGTCATGCATTAGTTTCACTGAAGCTGTTGGATTCTGGAGTAGAAAACTTTCCGCTTGTTGGATTCTGGTTTGTTTACGTCTAGCGGGACGTTCCTCTGCTTCCCTGAAGCAGCCAGAGCTTCAAAGTTTCTGCTGCTGCAGGATCAGAAACTGGTTGTTCTTCAGGGTGAAAATCACAGATCCTCCTCAGTCTGAGTCACTGAGCTGCAGATGTTAGAATCAGTGGCGGCTGGTGGGGCTGATATAGCCTATAGTGCAGGGGTATTCAACAGGTCCAGTTCAAAGAAATGTCCTCAAGCAGAGGTCCGCAATATCGTCTCTTTGCAGTATGACAATATCGGAATACATGGTGTTAAAAAAAAAAAAAAATTTCAAAGAAGTTTATTAATAATAATAATAATAATACATTTTATTTGTATTGCACTTTACATTTAAAAAAAATCTCAAAGTGCTACAAAATTCATAGTTAAAACAAAACCGTATAATAAAAACGGTATACATAGTTAAAATGAGACATTACAATAAAATAACATACGTAGTAAAAACAAAACAGTAAAATAACCATAAAACCACACAGATAAAATACTAACTAATGTTCGTAGGCTTTTTTAAATAAAAATGTCTTGAGGCCTTTCTTGAAGGCCTCCACACTCTGTGGGACCCTAAGGGACTCTGGGAGGCCATTCCAGAGTTGTGGGGCAACTGCCTGGAAGGCCCTATCTCCCATTGTGCAGAGCTTGACTCTTGGCTGGTGCAGTCGGTGGGTGGAGGTGGTGGAGCGGAGGGTTCTGGAGGCGGTGTGAGGTGTGAGGAGTTCCTTGAGGTAAGCAGGGGCAGTTCCATGTATGCACTGGTGAGTGAGGAGGCAAAGTTTGTAATCTATTCTGTGTTGGATGGGCAGCCAATGAAGGGACCTGAGGACTGGAGTGATGTGTTCGTGTTTGCGCCTCCTCGTCAGGACCCGGGCAGCACAGTTCTGGATGTGCTGCAGCTTTTGTAGACTTTTGCCAGGGACCCCGACGAGGAGGGCATTACAGTAGTCCAATCTGGAGGAGACAAAGGCATGGATTAGCTTTTCTGCGTCGGGTTGGGAAAGGGAGGGGCGGAGTTTGGCGATGTTTCTGAGGTGGAGGAAAGAGACCTTGCAGAGGTGACGTATGTGGGAGTCAAACGTGAGATGTGGATCCAATTTGACACCAAGGTTTGTGACGGATGAGGACAGAGGGATGTTTTGACCGAAGATAGGGATACTGTTTAGGGAGAAGGACTTGGTTTGGTGTGGGGTGCCAATGAGAATGGCTTCTGTTTTGCTGCTGTTGAGCTGTAGAAAGTTTTCAGCCATCCATGTCTTTATCTCCTCCAGGCAGCAGTGAAAAGCAGATGGCAGAACTGTGGGAGAAGTGGAGTCCATTTTTATGTACAACTGGGTGTCATCTGCATAACAATGAAAAGATACCTTATGTTTTTTGATTATCTGACCGAGTGGGAGCATGTAGATGGTGAAAAGGGTCGGCCCAAGGACCGACCCTTGAGGCACTCCGCAGGTGACTGTATGGGGTGATGAATTGGACTGTCCTATGGCAACAAATTCGGACCTTCCCGTGATATATGACTGGAACCAGTTGAGTGTGGTTCCAGAGAGTCCAACTGTGGACTGAAGACGATGGACGAAGTTTATTAGCACTGAAGCACAGGATAACATTGTGTGGCTGCAGTTTAAAATAACTAAATGATGTATTCAAAAGTAAAGAAAGTGCTTAAGAAAAAATAGCAGCTTCAGTTTCCTTTTGATTGAACAATCTCAATATTTCTGCTCAACAAAACAACTTTCAAAACACCTGAACTATTTCTCTTACAGATTTCTCTTACATCTGTCTTCCCCCAATGCTTTGGTTTCCCTGCCAGCATTTTAAATCTGGGCTTGAAGGAGGTCAGGGCCATTCTCATGCACATGTGCAGATTGCTTGGAACATATTTAGTTTTTATTATGTTCATTGCCTCACAGCTGTATGTGGAGCCGAACATGGTCAGGATAAACAGGGCCACTTTTTTTCAGATCTGAACTACACTCACAAGAATCCAGAGTGGAATAAAGGTTCCAACCAGCGGGAGCAGGAACCAATCAAATCAAATGTAATGATTTCTACCTTAGTCAGTTAAATAACCTGCTGCTGTCATTCTGCACATCTCTGATGTTGCTGCTATTTTCTAATATCCATTACTGTAAAAATGTCCATAGCTGCATATTGGTTATTTATTCTCCAGTTTTATATTGTTAAAACACTTTACAGTATTTTATTGTTTATATTTTAACTCTTCCCTATTATGTTATTCTTATACATTTTTCTAAGGTCCTCATTTCTGTGACCATTTTCAATAATCTTTCTGCTGCTGTAAATTTGCCCATTGTGGGACAATAAAGGGATTTTCTATTATATTCTATAAAAGGGGTAGAAATATATAAGTAAATCTAAACAATGTATTTATAAAAAATATATCTGCAAAATCTCTAATATTCAACAACAAAAAATACAAAGTTAAGCCTATTGTGCAAAACAACAATAAAAAGATAAAACTCCTATCAGATTTATAGCCCCCCCCCCCCCCCCCCCCCCCCCCGCAGATCTATTAGAATCTGTCCTTAAATTCCAGCCAAACCCATTTAATCAGTAACAGATTAAAACCTTTAGATAAATCAAACATTACCGCCACATATCTGACTCTATAACCATTAAAACAACTATTTTCATTCATCTCAGACGGAACTATTAAATGACTGGATTATATTAAACTGAACTTCCAATTTTCACCACTGTTCGGCGCCAAGTAACCTTTCCTCTGATCACAGCTTGCTTGGTCTCGCAATGAATCCTGGGATATCCAAGGATAGCGAGGATACATCGGACCCGTCCTTCAAATCGGGCAAAAAGAAGGACGCATTTTAAGGCCGCATAATGAGGACTCCTGGAATCCGACCAGACCTCGGCGCCGCGCTATGACGTAATCGGTCTTCGAATCCGGTCTTCTAAGGATGCGTACTAGGTTTTCAAACAGAGCACCTTTCTTCCTGTATCACCTCCCTGCGTTTCTCGCTTCAATCGCCTTTCACCTCCTCTTCCTTTTATCTCACTGCGTGGATGTCTGTGCCTGGCTGCAAACCTCTGCTTCGGTTTGCTCATACAACTCGCTCCGAGTTCAAGCTGGCGACTCAGACCAGAACCAGTCCTGCTCTGAGCTTCACTTTAAAAACTCTACGTTTTTAGAGTAAAGTTTATGAGGTATTTTTAGCTTTATGTACAAACTGCTATTAAACATCTTATAAGAAAATCTATGTTAAACTTACTCTTTCCCCAAAATTCACAAATTACAAAAAAAAAAAGGTTTAATTTAGCTTCAGAAACTCTAGTTTTTACTGAAGCTTAAAAATAGAGTAGAAATGATGATAAATACTCTAATAGAGTTTACTGCACCAAAAAGTCACTTTTTTTCTTTGTGTTATTTGCATGAAATAGGCTCAGAAATGTTAGATTAATCCTGGTTTATTTTTGCTTGAAAACTAAAAACGAAACACAACAAAATAACAATAAAAACTTGCGTTCACGCTCTGGTTCAGACAGAACCCCCATCCGCCCCCACCCCGCACGTACTCTCGTTCTCGTCAAGTCCGTTCTTGGCGAGAACGCAGGAAGATCGGACTTGACGAGAACGCCATAACGCGAGCACGTATGCGTATTGGAGCAGAAGCGTACTCGTGACGTCATCACATGCAACGTTGTTTAGCATTTCTTTAACAGTCAAAACTATTTATTCCCTACACAAAACATTTTGAAAACAATATTTTTAATTTCTAAAGCTTAAACATTTTAAAAAATTACCGAACCGCAAAAAACCGCCATCAGAACGAGCGGTAGTTCACACATAACTAGAGCGAGAGAAGTGCACTACAGACGGGGTAAATTTGGCCCTGGCTGCGGTTACCCTCGGAGGTCTGCTGGTCACTCTGGTCCGCTCAACGTCGGACTTTTTTTTTTAATTTCGCATTAACTCTGTAAACAGGCCACACAGGGAGGCTTCAATGTATAATGTTATCGCCTCAAACGATTTCAAAACGTACTTTTGAAGAACAACAGCAGCAGAAAAGGGAATGTTTAACCTACCACTGGGAGCGCTGTCTGGAATCAAGCTGCGGCCGCGGGGCATTCTGGGTAAGCGGTCAGTCTGAAGAACGCACAAGTCTGCTCTGATGCATGCTCGATAAAGAGGGCGGGGCTAGAACAAGATCCGGGGATTTGACGCGTTCTCGATCTGGCGTTCTAGAGAATTGGAACGGTACTCGGGCTGAGGCTGATGACGTATCACGAGTACACGAGAACGCTCAACAACGCATATTGAGAAACGCCCTATGACTCGCACGCGATTGGTTTTCTTCTTCTTCTTCTTTTTGTTTTTAATGGCGGTTGGCAAACAAATAAGTGGTGCATTACCGCCACCAACCAGTAGGGAGTGTGGATCAGGACAGACATGCTACACCTGTAGCCAATAAATAACGCAACATAATTCTATAACTTGAATCATAAATACTTTTCCTTAAAATATTTGTTAGACTTTTCCTTTTCCTTTGTCAGACTCCTTATCAATGAGTTCTTTGTCTTTGAAACCTCCTCCAGGTATACATCACGTGTTCTATTGTTTCATTTTCCCCACATTCATCACATCTTCCGTTTTCGTGTTTTCCCATTAATCGTAACGTTGAATAAGTTCTGTATGTCCCAACCGTAGTCTAGTTATTATCTTTTCCTCTATTCTGATACATTACGTGTTCTATGGTTTCATTCAATCTTCTCGGATCTTTCTTTTAATAATCGATTCTTATATCACTCTTACTTTGGCTTATTGCCATCTGCCTCAAGTTTTTGTTTAACTTGTTCCCACGAAATATTCCTCATCCCTAAGAATTTCTCAGCTCCTTTAACAATGATTTT